CACATCTTATTCGAGAAATGTTTTTTATAAATTTTTTTTTAGATTTTTCTGCACAAATTTAAATAACATTTATACAATTATATTGATTATGTGATTTTTTATTTTTGTTTACAAAATTATAATTAAATTAAAAAATAAGAACTTAAAATAACAGAACCCAATAATAATTAAAAAGTATTAAAAATTAAAAAGAAAAATAAAATTATAATTTTTGCATAAACTTTTGCTTTTTATATTTTTTATTTATTTTGTAAATTGATGCCAGACCAATTTTTACTGCATTTCGCTGTTTTGCATTTCTATCAAAATATAATTCTGAATCCAATTTCGTTTGCATTTACATTGCCTTGCTTATTTGTTTAAATAAATTATTACATTTATTTATATATATGCTTGTATATATATACAATATATATATACATAAGAGTTATATATATAAATATTAAGTGAAGGTTTTTTTCTCTTAATAATTTGTGTATAAATAATGTTTAAATACATATAAAAAAATATATGTGTATAAATTTAAATAAATTTTAATTACTAATAATGACAAAAAATCATACTTTCTTGAAATACACAATTGTTTTCCTTAAAACTTTTCTCGCATTAACATAACTATTGCACAAGAACATGTTTTTCCAAAATAAAAAAATTAATATAAAAAGCAATTTATTTAAGTTATTATAATTTTACGTTAGCTTATATGTTATTTTATTAAAACTAAAAGCCTAATATATCTTTTTAACAAAAGGGTAAAAATTCCGTAGATCTTTGGACATGGAGAAAATGAAATGAAAAAAATTTTATGCCAATTACTTTCTAATGTGAATGTATGAGAGAGTGAATTTTAAAATAAATAGAAAATTAACAATGCAACATATTGTTTAAGAAAACATTTATTCCCAAAAAGCAGTAAATGGTTGTTATTGTAGCTCAATTTGAATGAAAGGAGTGACAATTTGTTATCAAGGATAATCAATTAAAAAAATCCCTTACATATTAGTAAAGTTAAACAAGGGCATTTATTTATTAGGACCAAAATCAAATCTCTTTAAATCAGATACTAAGTATTAGTAATAACAAAAGTATCCTTAAATTTATCTAGGATATTTTTCGAACACACAAGAAAATTATATTTGTTACTAGACTTGTGTCACTAACCCCTAGATTAAACTCTAATTTTTGTTGTAATTTCCTTTTAGAAAGTTGAATGTCATTATCACCAATGATCACTTCATTTAATATTGAAATATTTTAAAGTAAAATGGACAACGGTTCTATATTTTTGGTGTCAAAAAAAATTCATTAATATTTTGATTTTAGATTAAGTATTAATCGTACGAATATAAATTTTTAAGAAGTGCATTAACAACTATTTTAGTTGTCTGAAGCAGTTGTAACATTTTGATCCGATATTATTTTGTTATAACAGTTTTCTTACTATATACTTGTTGTTTTTAAGATTTTCTTTATCTTAACTTGGTCCATATTAAACTTTATTAAATGCTGCATATCAGGTTTGCTCTTTTTTTTGGCGACAAATTTTTTTTTATATTATTCGAATTTGAAGAAGCCATCTTTCATGTTTGACTTAATTTTTTAAAATTAAATTAAGTAGAAAATAATTGTTGTAGGCAGCTCTTGAACCAAAAGTAAGTGCCATTTACAATCACAAAGAAAATATTTTTGAGTTTTGCATATTTTTAATCAGAGAATAGATTCTTTACAATTCCTTTAGCATGAGATTAGGTCATTTACAAGACTGGGTGGTTAAGAAATCAACTACTACAATTTTGCCTAAAAGCTTGTTATTACTGCGATAATAATTCTTATATAAAGTTTTGTTTAAACTACAATAACAAATGTTATTTTATTTTTGTTTTGTTTTTGGTTAAATGTTAAATGTTTCAATTCCGAAATCATTAAAAAAAAATCGCTCTCCACAATTCACCATAAAATTATTAATGAATAGAAAAATGAAGAATTCAAATGAGCTACAAAAATATTATAATGAAAAAATTCAACTACTTTTTATGTTACTTTTGACTACTTCTTGTTATATTACTCTGTTTCGTTTTTCTTTAGTAATATATTTTCTTTTAATTTTATTGCATTTTTGCTAATTATTAAATTTTTAAATGTATTAATTTCATGAGTTTTTTTTCATACCTTAATAACGTATTTTCTTCATTATTTTATAGCTGACTAGATGATTTAATATATTAGATTAGTTATTTTTTCAATTTTTGTTCGGTATTTTAAATTAATTTAAAAATTTTGTTTTCTTTTTCGTTTTGTTTCCATTGTCACTTAAGCATATTATAGAAACAAATATATATTAGTTTCACACAACATTACAACTGTTTCATTTGTTTTCATATTTATTTTAATTAATATATACTTTTAAAATATTAAAATTATTGTGTGTGCACATATACATGTATAAATATATATGCGCGCGTGTGTTGTGTAAAATTAACAATAAGAAACCCTAAATCTAATTTATATATAGTATATTTTATATCTAAACATATATTTCCTCCTAAATCTCAAATTACTTATTGAAAATTATAATAAACAACTAGAAAGAAATAAATAAATCAATCATATGATTCAAATAAACTAAAACTAAACATAGAGTAAAAATTTGTATAAACATATATAATTAATGTATTGTATGTGAATATGAATAATTAATATATAATATTATATTGTGTATATGATTTTTAAATAGTTTTAACAAACTTAAAAAAATAGTAGTTAACGCAAAATAATGTTGTAAATAAATTAATTTTGCTGCCAAGAAATTATTAATTTATTATATGAATTTTTTCCAATATAAATTCATACAAAATCATAAACTGCAAATTAAACAAAACAACAAGAAACTTTAATTTTTTTTATATAAACAACAAAAGAATTAAATTACATTTTAGCGAATTCCTTTAAACAAATTGAAATTATAATCAAATTTTAAAAACAAAATGAAGAAAAATAATTAATTAATTATTAATGATTTCAAGTATACATAACTTTGCTATAATTAAAATATTTTAATCAAAACATTAAGTTTTTTTTTTAATTAAAGTTAAATTTAAGCATTTAATACATCATTTTTTAAGTATGTGCAATAAAATTGTTTGAATTCATTTTATTTTTTACTCTAGACTTTTAATTTAAATTTCCATTTAAATGTTTTTTTTTTTAACACAGAAACAAAACTATGCATACTTTTTATATATTAAACGCAAAAACAAATTTTCAAATTAGTTTGGTTTGAGAGAAGAAAATTGTAAATAATTATAAATATTTCAATATATATGTATATTAATTATAGTAAACTTTAAAAAATCACTGAAATTTATCAATTGTAAAAAATTTGTTTTAATATAAATTGTGTATTGTTTTTGTGCTTCTTTGTTGCAAATTGTTTAGTTAATTAAATTTATTATATATTTGTTTACAAATACAAAGTAATTGTTTACGCTTTGCACAAACGTTTTACTCATCTTCATTTCATTTTTGTAATTTTTCTACTTAAGTAAATTTATTTATTTGATGTTTTTTTATTTATTAATATTTGGTTAGTTTATCTGAATTGTTAATAGTGAAATCCACTGAAAATTGTGGATAAATGTTTAGATATATTTTCATTTTCATTTTCATTTTCTTTTTTTATTTACTCAATTGCTGGTTATGCAATTTCGTTTTTAATCGTTTTTTTGTTTTTGTTTGTATTTTTATAATTTAATACTGTTGCAGCCTCCATTAATTTAAACTTTTTATTTAAAAAAAGCTTACTACATATTTTGATTTAATTTTTAGTAATAAATTATTTAGTTGTTTATAAAAAAAAGGAAATGCCTTATCGAACAAATATTTCCATAACGTCTCTTATGACTATTTTAAATTTCACTATATTATAAAACAAATGTTTTATATTTAAATTTTTATAGGTTGTTATTGCTGAATCGAACTAGATTTTATGGAAGAATTTTCATTGTTTCTTTTCTAAAATTTTACTTTTTCTGGTATAATTTATTTTAAATTATTTCAATTTGAAATAAAGGATATTCACTTTATTTAATTTTTAATCTTGCTTTACACAGCATACCTCCTCCTTCTCCTTTTTAATAATAATTATCTAAACTGTGCTTAATTTTTTCTTTTAGTTATAGAACCGATATTTTACTTTAGTTAATAAATGCAAACATTTCCATATCGCACCACCCGAGCTGTGCACATTTCTGGTATGTTGATATTGTTTACAGAAATTACCAATTATATATGCATACATATACAAAAAATTAATTAGTACAAACACTTTTAGGAGATAGTAACAGAAATGCAGAAATGCAGAAATGCAGAAATGTTTACATATAGACGAAATTTTTGTAATTATTTTTGTTTTTCTATTTTTTTTCTTTTGAAAGAAAAAAATGTGAGTTTATTATAAACAAATAATATGTAGTAAAACATTTCATTTCAAAATCTGTAGTTTGGTTAGTATTAAATATATTTACAAAAAGTGATTAGAATGTTTCTTTTTATATAAGCATGGATTTAGACTTATGACTTACATGAAAACGTAATAGAAACGAATATTAAGAAATATATATTTTCTATAACTGTTAAGAATATAAAAAGTAATTAAAACATTAAATATTATTTAAATATAATCAGTAATTTTTATGGTGTGGATTTATTGCACATCATGGTGGTTGGTGGTTCTACTTCAGAGCATAGAGCATATTCGAGCATTTCTTTAAGTTTCTTGTTCTTTAGTTTTGCGTATTGTTTCTTTTACTTATTATTCTTTGGTAACTACTATTTTTAAGTCAAACATGCACTCAAATATTGTAAATACATGCATACGTATGTGTATCAAATAATATGTTATGTTCTTATGTTCTTAATAAAAATTTTTGTATCTTAATTTAAAAAAAATCTTAGAGAGCGCATCATGAACAATACAACTGAACTTTCCGATATTATTTCGCTTTTTATTTTTTTGCGGTAGAATAAATCTTTACCACCTTGTTTGTTAATCAATACCTTAACGAACACATTTTTCTCCACATTATCCACATTGTTTGTTCATTCCACACCAAAACTTTAAATTACTTTTACTTTTGCTTTTACTTTTATTTTTGTTTTTATTATTTACTTGGATTTATTTGTCTTGAAGCTAACTTGCAAAACTCGATTACCGAGTGTGTAACCATTGAGTGCACGTATTGCCATAGCAGCCTCATCATAATTTGTCATCGATACAAAACCGTAGCCTTTGCATTGATTTGTTGTTGGATCTTTAACAATTTTGACTGATTGCACTGCACCAAAAGGTCCAAATAACTGCCATAAAGCCGATTCTTCAGTTTCAGGAGCTAAATTGTATATGAAAATTGGATAGGCACCGCCAGGACCACTTGCCAATGTTGAAGCAGCAGCAGCAGCTGCACCTAATCCGTTGGGCAACATAACATCTAACATATCACCTGCCATAGGTGAGAAACGTGCAAGACCTTTATTCACTGGTGTATGCATTGCTCCTCCAATTCGTCGTACAAGTTGTGGATTAAGGAACGCTGGTAGTTGTGGTTGTATTATTTTACTTGTGCTACCAGGAGTATTAGAGAATTTAACCACAATTGGATCAGTACAATTGTTAGGAGTTGTACCGTTAAGTGCAATTATAGCACGAGTTGCTTCCTCGCGTTTATCAAAGCGTATAAAACCTACACCTTTTGTTTGTGCATCATTTCCGGCATTTTGTAATATGCGCGATGTAATTATTGAGCCAAATGGCGCAAATATAGCCTCCAACTCCTGCTGTGACATAGATTTTGGTAAACCAGAAACATATAAATTAGCGCCTTTTATAGCATCCGAAGAGGGACGAGCAAATGATACTTTAATAGTTTTATTTTGCAAACGTAAACCATTTAGCACATTAACGGCTTGTTCAGCGTCTTGTGGACGCACATAATTAACGAAACCATAACCAAGACTTTGTCCCTTTGTTGCTCCTTGTGGATTTAAAGGATCCATGAAAACTTGAGATTTGTCGCGTATCAATTTAACAGATTCAATCTCACCCACACTAGAAAACAATGAACGAATTTCATCTTCACTCATAGTTTGTGGTAGATAATTTACTATCAGATTCGTGCGCGTTTCTGAGCTTCCATTGCTGCCATTGTGTTGTCCGGCAGTAGTGCCATTCGTTTGTTGCTGTTGCAATTGTTGAGTTACAGCTGCAGCTGCTGCAGCAACTGCTTGCTGTGTTTGTTGTTGCTGCACTTGAAGTATAGCTTGTTGAACTTGCTGTTGTTGCTGGAGTTGAGCAGCTGCAGCGGCAGCAGCTTGTTGTGCCGGTGTAACATTAGCTACAGCGGCTGCTGCATTAGCAGTTGGTAATAGTGGTGCGTTTGCTGTGGTAATAAAATCCACTAATATTATCATAAACCAGATCAGATTCAGATTCAGATTCAGATTCATATACAGATTCGCCGCAATAGAAGTTTACATGAAATTAAAATCGTATAAAAACAAAAACAATTAATATAAAAATTTATAATATAACTATAATTGATTAGTATTAGTGAAAAATATCTGTAAATAATAAATTTTGAAATAAATATACCTTTTATTTTGCGGGTAAAAATGCTTGAATGTGGTAATGCTCGGAACATATTTTTTATTTTGTGTTTTTGTAATATTTACACTTCCTTTAGAATATGTAAAATAAAGTCTTTTAAAACTTTTATCATTAAATATATACTTTTAAGGAAAACAGTAAAGGCTATTATTTTAAGTAATATTTCAATTAAATATATATAAATATAAATATATATAATAAATATATATATAAAAATTGTGTAGGTTTGAAATAAAAACTCCAGATATCTTAGATAAAATTATACCTTTTTATATATATATATATACATATTTTGTAAAATTTGTTAAAAAATGGGCACGGATTAATGTAAATCAGTTGTATATCATAAGTTATAAAATGGCATTAAAAAAACTAACTTTCAAGCTTGTGACTTAGACTTATGAGAGGTTGTAAAATTTGAGTATACCAAAAATAGGGTAGAAATGGGAAAGGGAGTGCTTTCCTTTTTTGTATATATAACAAGAGAACAAGAGTGTATGCTAATATTACCTTAGTTATCACTAGGGTGAATATGTACGCGCAGGTCAAAGGTTTCTATTCCAATTGATTCCATTAGATTTAGTATTGGCAAAATTTTTGTCTTACTTTATGTAATACATAAAATGATATAAAAAAATATCAAATCTAGTTTTTATCTAGTCTATTAAAAAAGTTTATATAAAACTAAATCTCACATATCTTTTTAAATACTGTGTAGTTTAGAAACTTATTTATTATTTAATAGCTTAAATGAATATGTTCCCTTTTCAGAATGTATACTATAGTATTCAAGAATCTGTTCATATATATGTGCTATTGCATGTTATCGAGCTAACTGTATATGGTAAAGAATATGTTGCAAAAATTTAGCAGACGATTATAATCGTATAACAAAATAGGGGTGTAAAGACCGAACTCGAAAATCGGGGAAAAAAATTATGTATATGTTTATGTGCGGTACATTCACAAAAACAAATTTACTGTAAAAATTAACCGAGTACGGTTACGGTCTCAATAATCCTAATATTAAAAAATATAAACCTTCCGGTAATAATGAACTGAAGTTCTCAATGGTTATTAGATTTGGTTTAATTTTTTACATCATTCAAATCTTGTTTAAATTTCAATTTGTGTTAATTAATTTAAACAATTGAATTCGTTAATACTTAATTCATATATGAAGTGTCAAAAGCTATTTTATTAAGAGCGTGGAAAAATACTTTATTGCGATAATGAATTCTTTTTGAAGGGTTGTGAAATTCGTACATGTTTTATTTTTAAACATTTAGTACATTTTGTTAAATAGGAATGAATGAATTTAATAAAATAACAATCTAGTTGCTGACATTTATTGTACAAAAAGTATTGCCCCTACATTGCATAGTTTTTCTAGATACAAATACAGTCGTGCGCAATGTTGCGTAAAATTTAGCGTCAGCAACCCAGAGAGTAATGTGAGAAAAATAAGAGAACTGGAAAAATGTGGAAAATAATATAAAAGTGAATGGAAAGATGCCATTCAAGTTGTACTGAAAAATAAAAGATTCTATTGCGTACCTACTATTGTGCTACTTACTCTTTTTCGTTTGTATCGTGTACTATTATAGATGTATTTCAAAGAATGTATGGACGAGATGGCAACTACACAATTTGCTGCTGCCAATCGATTTTATTGATTTTTATTTTAGACTTTTTCGTTGGTATAAATTTTTGCTCTTAATGCCGACAATTTTTTTTAGATTCTATATATATATATATTTATATATATATTGCTGTTGCTTAAATTTGTATCTGATAGATACAATTATTATATCTATTTTATTACACAATTCTTTATAAAACAACTTTAATTACAATTCTAACACTCACAACACAAAACACGACTTCTTGTTTATAATACGATATATAAATTATTTATTAGTTTATAATATTTAACATTTATTTATTCTTGGAAGCATTCGACAGACAAATTCACTTCCACTAATATATTTTCATTTAAACACGCCAACTTTTTTGGATCGATTTTTCAGGAGCTGCACCCTTTTTCAATAATTTTTATAATTTTCTATCAATTTTAAATATTTGCGAGTTTATTGAACTTTATGAATATAATTAATTGCTTCTACAAATAAATTCAATTATATTGCGTACTTTGAACAATATTATAATTTTATTAAACATATATATTATAAATTTTCACCTATTACTATTTTTTCAAAGTCGGCGTACGGATAATTTGCGTGTGTATGCTAGGAGTGTTAACGGCGAAATGATTTTATGAATTTTTGTTTTAAGTAAAAATGGCTGCCAGTGCATTCTGTGAGCATACTTTTAAAGCGTGTATGAAAGAAATAGCTACTGCGAAATGTTAACAAATACGAGAGAGAACTAATGGTGAAGTGTTGTATTTAGCCCAAATAATTAAATATTAAATTAAAATTACTTTCTTTAGTAAAATTATTAAATTTTATTTCGTTATTTAACGAAATAAAATTTTTATTGTGTAAAGTAGTTTTTATATTTTATAAAAATTTAACAAATTTCATTTAAATTTATTTAATAGTTTAAAAAACTAATTCACTGGAAGTATGTGTTGGAACTGATGCAAATGAGAGAAAGAATTTTTACTCTTCGCTCATTTTTGTACATTTTTTCATTTCCATACTTCCGCTCTATATATATATACATAAATATACACAAAATATTTACAATACTCCGGATGTATGAGTTCCAATTTGTATAAAAAATGCCTTTTATTTTCAAATGAGAAAAGAAACAAAGTTATGCGCTAGCAGAGGTCGTCAACCGTTCTGTTATCGCGTGCAAGTAATATCTCTTTTACTCACCGGCTGCGTATAATGGGGTTATGGGTGCGTGATACCATCAAAGCATATGCGTATTATTTCTCTCGTTGACTTTCAGCGGTATATGGTATACTATACTGTAGGCAATAAGTTTAATTATTTTTTGCGTTCATTTAGCAGGGGGTGGTTGCAATAAGTTTTCTTATATTTCTGTTTCTGTTGGTTTAGTAACAAAATGTTAAGCATAAGGGATGCATATTTCCTGTAAATAATATGTAAACAATTTTTATACTCGTTTTTTGTGTGCTTTATGTCCCGGTTTCAATTTTATTTTCTTGTTTCCTTTTTTGTATTTTTGTATTTCTGTCAGTACTTTTGTGGTTGTATTATTTTTACTTCCAGGATCAGTAACAGCTACACTTTATTTCGGCTTTTTGTGTTAAAGCACTTAGCATGTGTGGGCAAAACGCAAAGAGGGTGAATATATAATTATAGACTGGATACAGAAAGTACATTGCTCTAACAAATGCAATGCAGAGCTTCGAATATCTTATATGTATGTATATATTTCCAGTAATTCACATAATAACAGAAAACTTTGATAAATGGCGATGAACAGGTTTGGTCTAGATTTGTTTGAGTGTATTTTGAAGACAATTGAAAACCTATATGAACTGAAAAAAGGGATAATGAATTTGTATGACGTGAATTTGTGTTGTTAATATAACGTAACTAAGATAAAGACTAAAATATTAGCAACAACTAAATCCAAACAAAAATTTTACACTGTTTCTATTATATACTGTTTACATGTATTAAAACAAATTATAGTTGTTCTAAACATTTTAAACTAAACTAAACATAAACTAAACATTTTTATACAGTTTTATGAGAACTAATAGTATGCTGAAGTTTTTATTATAATAAATGACGTTTATTGTAATAAATTCCAATAAGGATTGTGTTACAATACAATACAATGCAATTGTTTTTTCAACTAAATCAAATAATGAATTCCTTTCATGTAAAAAGCAGGTTTTTAAAAAAATTTTGCATTAAATGTATTCAAACCTAATTGAGTTATAACACACCCAATTATTTTGTGCTAGAATATATACTTATTCTAATATTTTTCAATGTTTCTAACATCATCTCAACAATTGTAGGTTCGAATTAAATATAAATACCAATATGTTTCACCCTGCATTTGACTTGCATTTAGTTGTTGTTGTCGTTGTTCTTGTACCCTGAAGAGATCTATATACATATGTTATATAGCAGGAGACATTAAATCAATTACAAAATACGAAAGAATTAGGTATGGACTAAGTGAGAAGAAGAGGGGTTGTTAGGGATAAGGAATGGATGTGCTTACCAAATTGCTTAAACCCTACAGATTCGTCATAATACCATTGTTCAGAACGAAAGCTTAACTGGATTTTAAATAAAAATTTTCTTTATTGCAAATCAATTTTAATCAGGTATATATTGGTCATTATGATTTATGACCTCTTGCCATTTTTCGAGTAACTTCGTAATTTTTAATGACTGGCCGTCCAGAACCGTACAAGGTGTTCGGCATGTTTTTGCAGTAGTTTTTCCTTTTTATAGTATTAAAACATCATATAGCATATTTCCTTAGATATTTCACTGATATTTAAATCAATATAATTTTTTATGTTTATGTGGGTATTAACATCATGTAGTCATTAAAATCCACGGATACTCTTTACATACACATATAATTATGAGAAATGGATAAGCATTAGGTGAGTTTTTAATTCAAACTAACTTGAATCGAGGCGAAAAAGTCTTGCCACACCAATAGGTCGGACTGAAAGATCAATAGAGCTTAAATTGGTGTGTGCATTGGGATATGACAATAGATGATGGCATTGTGTGGAGTAGAGGTATGGTTAGAGCACACATTGGGAATTGATGAACTTAAGCGTCAACAGGGCGACTTATTTATTTAAGCGCCAACGTACTGGCACTTAGTCACCAAATTCGTTTTTGGAACCATTTTTGACTTGAGCAAAAGACAATGATTTTTAACCCAACGAAATAATATAGTGTTTTTTTAGACACCGTATTTCATAGCAATCTTGTAAATATACAAATTTCGCTCAAGAAAGGAAAATATACAATTTTTTTTGAAAAACCTAATGTTTTATAAGATATTATAAAAGTTTACATTATCAAATATTATTTCAAACACATACTCAGAGGTGTCCATGAGTATCATACTCTAGTATAATGTAGATTTAGATGTATAATTTAGATGCACTGATAATAGGCCCATTGCAATACCACAGTTTTTGGGTTGCAATTGTATTAATTTTGTTTAGTAAAATGTGCTGTTATAAACTACATATGCTATGATACTACTTGGATTATAGTAATGTACTAAAAAATATGTACTAAAAATATTAAACTTGATCGTGTTGGCAGGTCATGTCAGGTAATATAACTTCATTTCAATTTTACCTCAAAACAACAAATATTTAAAAGTAATTGGATTAAGATTTTTAATAAGGAATATTTTTTTGTTTTAATTAAGCATAAAGTGTGTGGAAAGTTTTATAGCATATGTTATGTTAGAATTTTATTTATTTAAAAATATTCGTTACGCATATTCCTGTTAGATGTGATCACTACATAAAGTTGAAGTTTGTTCCCTAACACATTTGCTGCTTAGACTAGACTTTACTGCTTTATGATCGAATTTAGTGGCATATGTTAGAATTTCCTTAAAAGTGGAACTATTGATCAACGAAAACTTGTTATGTTAGGGATATTCAGCCTATTCATGATCATGACAAAAAGTGTGCACTGAGTCGTATGAAGTTAAAACTATACCATAGATACCATACCATATATGGCACGAAATGTAAATTTTTTAGAATTACAAAAGGGGTTAAACATGTAATATCCTTACGTATATGTGATGTTGAAATATTAAATATTAAGCACAAAAAAGTTAAGGGTGGAATAGAATTTCCATAATGAGTCTCTTATCTTAAATATTTACATATAAATATATGATATTATTAAATATATATATGTATGTGCATAAAATTTTTCATTGCAATACATAATGGAATATATGCTTTTTGTAACTAAAAAGCACAGTCTTTTCACAGGAAATGCTCGCATATGCAAACTACTGAAATTGCATATTAATAAAAATACATTTCTAAAGTTAAAACAAACTATTGTGTTTAGATTATTTATTGTTGTTAAGCAAAACTTATTGAAGCAAATTAATTTAAATGAACATAGGTTAGATTTGGTTATGGTGGCTATAGGGAGATATTATCTTCACAAAGGCAAATCCCAAGATAAGTTCTATTATTATCTATTATATTTCCATTGCAATAAAGTACTGTGATCTTTACATATCTTTTGTAATGAAACACACTATAAGCGCTCAGAATATATATATCAAAGAATGCCAGATTTTTGTTGAAGAGCTTCTAATTGTAGACTGGAACAAGTATTTTCTAACCAACCACTTACTTACTTCAGTATATTCAATTATAGTCGATTTCCATAATCAAACACCTCAAAACGTCGAACATTTTAATTATCATATTATTATTACTCACATGATAACATGATTATATGGACACATTAAATATTATGGTATGAATTTTTTCATTTAAAAAATCTAACGGGCTACATGTCAAATTGGAATTGCTATCAATGATAATAAAACTAAAGCTATACGCCATTTCAGCAAATTGGAATATCACTTAAATATTAAATGAAACTATTCGATCAAAGTTAATAGATTTGAGGATTTCAGATGGACAATAAAAACTGCATACGGATAAAAATAGTAATTTAGAAGCCAATTCTATTAAGTAAAAGGAAAATAACTAACATATTTTCGATATATTGATGAACTAGACAATTATTTATTAGTAACAGACCTCAGTACCAGCACTGAATGTCAAAGTCTATGAAAAAAATCGGAACTTCGTTTATCACAGAATGCTAGGAGTGTTTTGCTCAATTCCGTTCTGGAAATTTCGATGTCAAAGAATCGACATTAAATGATTTTTTTAAACCGGTAGCACTAACAGACTTCTGTTCGGATGTTCTACAGGTTGCTTTTAACATTGTCATATTGGTTAGACAGATAAGTACCAAAATCTAAAAAATTAAATAAAAAAAAATATATATGCACTTCACATTTTTTTATTAGTATGTATTGACTTAATTATTTCATACTTCAAATTAGATGTGGTAAAAACTGTTTTTAAATGTATTTATTTTAAACTACATATTTTTAATTTATTTATTTGTGTATTTTTATTTGGATACTTATTTAATTGTTAGAAAATACTTTATCACTGTTCGATATACGCATAATATGGATTAAACATGTCACCAACTTACTTTCTAAAGAAACTCAGTCTACTACAGAACCTCTCCTTAAAGAATTCTTAAGGATTTACTAAAGGTTTGATCCTTCGGTTTTAAATCCTTTGAATTTTATACGGTAACATAATGTGGCAAAAGGTCTCAGCTAATTTGTAATGTAATTATAAGAAAAAAAATTTTAAATAGCAAAATTTTGAAAGATATTCAATGAAGAGAAATTAAACCATAATTTAAGGGAGATTTAAACTTTTTCCTAAAGTTTATTGTTAAGTATTGAACTTATCAGCAATATTATCGAACTAATTCAATTAATACTGATTTTATTAAGTATTTTTATATTTGAATACTTAATACTTATTTGAATACTAAATAATATAAAAAATCAAACTATATTATACAGAATAATAATATATAAACAAAATAACAAAAGATAAAAAAAATTTTATTATAATTAATAATTATATTATTAATAATTATATTATTAATTATAATTAATTATTAATTAATAAATTATAATTATAATAATTATAGGCTATATAGTTATAGTTATAATATAGTTGTTTTCCAATATTGATAACATATATCTATATAGGTTATATAGTTATAGTTATAATATAGTTGTTTTCCAATATTGACAACACTGTAAACACCTTTCACCTGATCTGCCATGCAGTTTTTTTTTGTTAGAACTTATCTATTTAATAAGATAATCTTCGTTATGGGAGTTTCATTATTCAAAATATAGTTCTATTTTTCAACTGTTTGGTAAACGTGATATAAAGTTCAACTGACTGATGAGATAAGACTCCGTTTGACCTTTTTCTATTTCTTAAACATATTATATATTGTAACTTCGTGTAAATTAATATAATAAAATTGCAATTATTCAGGCTATAATACAAAATTACAGAAAGAGTTGAAAGTCATATTAAGTGCCACCTGTCTTTCGAAGATTAAACGAAAATAAGTACTTTAGAATATATAGGTTGATTTACATTATTCCTAGCGGAAAAAATATTTACATATGATTACTATAATTTTTTGCTGATTGGTGTATTATGTTTGTGGGGTGCACTGAAATCATTATTATTTCTAGACATTTGTTTGGCTTCATATACCAAAAATAATGTTGCTCATTGTCGATTGTTGATTACAATAAATAGCCTTTTTCTTAGTCTTTTATTTAATTAGATTTGTCGTTTAATTTGCCTTATCATGTTTTAATAACCGTTAAAGATTTAACTTTGATTTTTTTATCGAATGTAACGCATCTTATGACGAAAAGAAAAGATTTCATAAATAAAGATATATAATCGTTTAGTCCTTATAAAATTTCATCTGCAAGTGTTTAGTATTGGATTAATTTGCATTAATAGTTTATTTTTTTCATTACAGTAAGCTAAATGCTATTATTTTTAATAAATAATAACATATAACTACTTGTAAAAACATAGGTTGGAATTCTTCATAGGAGTATTAAATTTAATTATAAAAATAATCTTAAGAGAATTTTAACCTCTTATTCCATGTCTGCGCGTTTTTTTTTTTCAAACTTTCAGAAAATTGTGTAAACACACTTGCGGGGTACATGGGAATATTACATACAAGTAAATAGTTTATTGTGTAAAGTATAAGATGAATGAGTAACTTTTTCTCACTATCTGTGATAGAAGTATAAACATACCCTCTAGCGTTTTTCTCCCCTTATTAATTATGTATGACATATATAAAGCTAAAATATATGGTGATTCATTTCTATCTCTAATCTTTTACATTCCAGTCTACCGGCGGATCAATTGATTTACATTGGACTAAGGGATGTTGATCCCTACGAAGCGTACATACTCAACAAACTTGGAATACGCGCATATGCCATGGATGTAAGTTTCATTGTACTCAGAATATGGTAAATTGCTTTAACAAAATTTATGGCCTTTAAGTAAGTATTTTTTATTTTTATTTTTATTTTGTAAAGTATATTTTATGGATTTCAATGAGTAGCACCGATCGTGCCAAACAATAATAATACGGAAAAAGAGGGATGCAGTTCGCTTTTGCTGTATTATTTATCCTTAAGTCCTTTCTTTACAACAGTGTAACGCACTGACAAAATACAATTGGGGTTGGTTTGATTTTAGCTTGTTTGTTATAATTTTTTATACATTCAAAAATTTTTAAATTCAGGCAGAACGAATCCGGATTTTCAACTGTGAAAAAACAAAAAAAATATAAATAAAATTACAAGTCTATATATACTTGTTTGTAAAGAGACGTTAACGATAAAGTGAGGAAAGTAGCTAGTATCTTTTAATTAGGCGTAAAACCTTTAGCTTTAAATCATTTTTCAATAGCAATTTTAAACAGTTGATAGATACTTTTAGTAGAAATGTAAATATCTAAACAATTCGTTTTATATATTAATAAATTTTATAATTTTATCATTTTCATTGAAAATTTTCTGAATTTTAAATGATATGTATCCATTTGTTAAAATTTCTCAAAATTCTCCTTTCTATGTATAGTAAGGAATCAGAAACTTATATGATATACTCGTACCAATATTTAATAATGTCGTAATATAGAATGTAACAATTAAAAATTATTTTTTAAATAAAGCTAAATTAAGTTTATATGATATATAACAACAGTAATCTGTTCCAAGAAAGATATTTTCATTTGTCGATATGGGAACAATTTGTTAGTATCACATAGACAAATGTCTAGGGAACTTGGTAATTTTGATCTATTTTTGCTGACTGTTACGAAATGATAGAAAATATCTTTTTTTTTCCTTTCTGCATTCAATCTAGATTTGTAGCTGTGTCAGAAGATATTTATATTTTTCAAAAATACATATATTGAATCAAACAGCCCTTCATATATCGAAAACAGCTCTTCATTTCAGGGTAAACTTGCTACTCTGGCAAAATACTTAGAGTATTATAAATTAATCTTGAGTGTTATACAATATCTCGAGTATTATGTAGATTTACCAATCGAAAATGAAAATTGCACTAAAAGTAAATCTTGATTAAAATAATTACCCCAGATTTAACAATCGAAAACGCTATTAGTATTACGATAACATTAAAAATTAAAAAATTATTATAATTAAAACTTACATTTATTATAATAAATGTAAATTTTTTATTAAAATACTTATTTATTAAAATAAATAAACCTATTAGTTCTGTTCAGATAGGTAATGCATCCTGTGATATCTGTATATAGAGAAATATATAAAAAGGTATCACATTTTGTTCATTCGGATTTATAGTATTAAGCTTCAGTATGGTTTCATATTCAGTACGTGTACTCAGGCTTAACAAAATTTACTAGAATGCTAAAGATTGGGATGCAGATTGTAGTTACTGGAAGACGTTTTCTTAACAACTGAACTGCTATAAATTTCAGATTGTCCAATAGTTAAGCCAATCATCATCATAATTAATGGCGCAACGGTCCTAGTTGGCCTTCCTTAAGGATATATATACATTATTATAAAACATAAAATCTTTCGTTAATGACAAGTCTGACAGGAAGGTAAGAAAAAAGGCTTGAAAGATTGTACATTTTTTTCTAGCCATTGGAGAGTAGATCTAGATAGTATGGTGGTTGGGAAAGAAAATTCGAAGTGCAATTCGTTCAAGTTAATTATCGTTTGCATAGACGTCGAAAGCAACACGCATACTTAAATTTTCAAATTCTAAACACACTATCTTTTGATATCTCTAAGGTGTCGACTATCTTACGAAACTTCACTTTATGGTCGTTCAAAATTTCTAAAGATCTTTTGATGTTTTCCAGAACAATTCTGCCGATTTCCTGCAACATCAGTGTGTGTATGACTACTTTTAATTTAAATATACTTTTTAATAATAGTTGATTGTCTTCATGAAGAGTCTTCAAAACCAGTTTAACCAGTCATTGTTTGGTTCCAACGGTATCTCTCCAAGGAAAAACAATATTTAATCAACAGACAACCGAAATACTTTATGAAATGTCTGAACTGAAGAATTTTTTATTTTTAAGATAAATAAATTAGTTTCGATATTATATACCTAAGTAATAAAGATTTTGAAATCATTTTGAGTTTAAGAGTTATTATGATATATTTACGAAGGTATAAATTTTATGTTGTTATATTATCTTATAAATTATTTTATATATTCGTTAAAATTTTTACCTTAAACCATATATAAAATTTAAAATATTATATCTCTTTCAGTCCATTGATAAGTACGGTATACAAAAAATTATTGAAATGACGCTAGATGGAATAAAACCTCAAAACAAAATACATGTAAGTTTTGATATAGATGCACTTGATAAAGCAATCACACCGAGTACAGGTACTGCGGTGAATGGCGGATTAACGTTGCGTGAAGGTATTGCACTAATAGAAGCTTTTCGTGATACTAAACGTATACAAGGAGTTGATTTGGTTGAGCTTAATCCTTTACTGGGCACAGAAGAAGATGTAAAAACTACGTTAAACTCAACATTAGAAATATTAAAAAGTTTTTATGGTTATAAACGCGCTGGTAATTTTTCAAATATCAATACAGATTTATTTAAAAGTAATTAAAAATTTCGAAATAGAAATGTATTTACAATAATAAATTATTTTTAAAATTCGATTTTGCCTATAATTTTATATATTCGATTTATTTGTGTTATGCTTAATTTTTATTAGTTGGAATGGTGGGTACAAAACCGGTAACTATATGAGATTCTAATGCTTCTTGCGTCATACTGTTCGCCACGTTAATGAGATCATTTGTTATACTTGTAGCTGCTATTGTTGGTCGTGGTATACTATTACTTTGTGATATTAAAGGAATTTTTAACGTTGACTGCTGCAGCGCCTGTGGTGCTAATGTTTTTATAAATTTGCGTTGTAATGCTAATAAAATTGAGTTAAGAACGCCAGATATGACTATAATTCCCGCTATTATAGAACATAAACGTATAACGAATTGTATAATATTATCTCGATCAGTACGCACAATTATTTTTAAAGCAGACCAATCATATTTGAAATAAATACCGGGCGATCCAAATGTATTCTGCGCAGCATCTGCAAATATATTTTTAACATTATTATGCATAATGGTATGTAGGTATGTGTACAGTAATATACTATTATTTTTACCTAATTTACGAACGTTTTCTGTTACGGAATATTGATAAGTATTAATAGTAGAAAATGTGTTATGAATTTCTGTTGGAACAATTTTTAAAAAATATTGCACAGTTGTTGCATCATCTCCTACAAATGTTTCATCACCTTCTAGTGGTTGTACGATACGGCGAGAATATGTGCCAAAACTGAGTCGATTAATTCGATGCGTAAAGTTAGCAGGAAGACGTCGTAGTTCAATTACAAAGTGATCTTCAAGTAGACCAAATACCGGTTGAGCACCTCCTATTAAATGTAATACACCAGCTACCTAAGAAAATAAAACTTCGGATTTATTTTATATTAAATATATATTAAAGAAAGATATGAGATAGTCTAACCTTATTTATACCTAGTGTACCATGTAAACGACATGCATCATATTGTTCTTCGGGTAGAGGTTTCTCATTCATAGTAGGTGTATCGTGTGCTTCATTACTTTTAATAATATCTTTAAACAATATATCTGCTACAGAATGATATTCTTCCCGTAGAAACGAATTAATATGTTGTATACGCTCAAAATCCATACGTTGTTCCGTTGTCATTGCCCACCAAGTACCTTCACGTTGAAGGGTACCATAAGAAAATACATCCTGCTGCGTTTCGTCCATTAAATCTACTCCGGACAAAGCTACGAAATTTGGCACGAAATTAGTATTTATATTATTTGTTATTTTATTTTTTTTAAATTATAAAGTAAGTTAGGTTAAATTATACCGGCAATCCCTAGAGACAATCCATTGTTTTACCGTATAATTAAAAACTCAAGGGTTAGAACCACTTAGAAAATTTGGCAAAGCTTATAATGCTATTTAGAGGAAGGTCTTGCAGTTCGCCAAGATCTTCGTAAAAGAAAGCGACGCCGTGCAAGAGCTGGACAGAAGCAAATCAGATGGGAGGCAATTTCATCATCCTCTCCACGACTGCGGCCGGTATGGTTGAAAAGGAGACTGGTCTCCTAGCATGGTTACTTAAAACACAATGTACCTTATATGTAAACGAACTATCTCTACGGGGTATCTCAATGAGAGAGTCTGATATTTTTTTTAATTGGAGCGTAGCCAAATCACATACAGTCTGCATATCATTGTGACTTTCAATCTTTTGTTAAAAAAATTCGGCACAGGAACGATATATTAAGATTGTGTAAGTATTTTGAGTGGATTCCTAATCTGGCTAGTCTGGTTAACTCGTCTGCTTAACAGTTGCCGAAAATATCCCTTTGACCGGGAACCTAGATTAGAGAAAAACTGAACGGATTGACATATTATTTAGAGATATATAGCAGTCAAAGACTGTCCTACATGTAAATTGCACTGAGCTCAAGGACTTTGAAGTAGCTTGACTGTTCGAATGTATATATTCCTATTAAGTAAAATTATAAGTGTATTTGTGACTTATGTGTCTGTATTGATATGTATACATAGGTTTAGGTTTAAAAAATTTGTTCGATAGCTCAAAATTGTAAGATTATCTATCCATCTAATATCAGCTATAGTTTTGAAAAGTAAGTGAATGTGATTTCATTTGTAAATAAAACAAAAAAAACAGTAAAACAAAATTTTGAAAAAACAAATGCCATAAGAAAAATTAATAAGTAATTGGAAGGCATAAATAGTATAGCATTAAGAGTGGGAACTAAAAGGAACCTAGATCGTATTCAGGCAGAGAGACCTTGAATAAGTTTTAGTAGATTATTTAGCTATTCATAATAGTTTTGTGTAACTGTTAAATATTATTTAATTTTTTTTAAATAACTATTGAAACTTACATGTGCAAGGCATTGCCACTGTAATATCAACGTTCATTAAAACCTTGTCATCCATATCAATATCAGGCTCGAATTGGTAAACAAGATTTGCATTCTGATAATAGCAAATTTCTTTATAAATAAGATAGATAATTAATATTCGACTAAGAAGTGATACTGTAATGTGAAAAAAGTAACAAATATTTAAAATTTAGTTGTGCACAAGTAAAATTCAAAAACTTACACGTCCCCCCAATTTCGGATGGTTCAGTATATTTTTCTGGAACTTTTTTAAAGGCATCTAAATTTTTTGCCATTTCAATTAAATTACTTCTATCGCCGCGATATCGCAACGTTGCAGCCATTTTAAACAAATATAAATATAATTTAAGATTTGTTATTATATTCCCGTTGTATTTTTCATTCAATATAAATATGTAAATACATTTGACAGCCGGAATCAATTGTCAGATATGCCAACGTCAGCTGAAAGTAAAAGTGTTGGAAACCATTATATGTCGTGAATACACTATAAAAAGTTGATAGATTTGTTTGTAAATTTTATCATAACATCCGATTTTTTAAACATGTGTAATTTTCTTCATATGTATACTATTAAAAAAAGTTGAAGACAACACAACAAATTTGCAGCAAACTCAATTAAACTACAACAATAAACATAACATTGGACATTTATGGCGTTTTTGATTATCAAATTAGGATTCAATTAATCTATCGATTTATCCACTATAGATCGATAATTTAATACCTAATTAAACATCAAACTCTAATCTTTATAGTTAGTTACTCGTAAAAAAATTTAAGTCCTAAATTTCAATTCAGAATAGACTAATTCAAAAATCAGTCTATAGTGGGTGTTCACTGAAATTCCGGTTATCCGGTAAAATCATATGAGCATTTCGTTTAAGCATGGTTTAGACGATACTACATGTACGCCGCTAAGGTATGCGCTTTGCTACACACTTTGAAACAATTAGTAATTTTATCGCATACAAGTCGGTAGTCTGAAATTTGGTATGCATACTTGAATATACATAGTGCGATTTGATAGTACGGTATGCTTAATTAATAATTTCAAATACACGAATAAAAAAATTAATCTAAATATGTATGATAAAAATGCTTACTAATATATATTTTTCTAATATTTTTTTATTTTTCTTTCATATAAATTAACACAACTAACAACTTATATTAAAAAAAACGTATTTACCATTAAGCAAAAATTAAGGCTAATTACGGCTTATGTATAACAAAGCTTAAACGTACGATAATTTTAATTTACATTTCTTGCTGACATTCCTCATTATCAAGTGTATAGTTCTGTCAATTTTAAGCTATAAGTTACTTTACAACACTACTTAAATAACAATCTTCTGGCGTTCGTGAAGCAAAACAGAATTTTTTTACAGTTATTGTTATTATGGATATTAATTGGATCAAGATTACTGAAAGGTAAAAATAATAACAGTAATATAATTTGTGAGCATATTTAGATCAACTTATATACATTTTATGTGTAGGGCACGCGAAGGCATTAAAATTATTAATGCATTGCCATACGAAACATTTACAACGGTACTTAATTTTGTTCATCGACAAATGAGCCCCACTGATCAAGATCAGGATATGGTTGAGCCAGAAAATGCACTTGAAGAACTTGAACGTTTAGTAGGTGTACCTAGAAGTGATTTTCTACTTCTAATAAAGACATTTTCTTATATATTACGTCGTACATCAACTTTTGTTATTAAACCTTCAAGATTGCAAGTAGAATTACGCGAAAAACTTCAATTGCAAGAAGCTAAAATTGATGCAATAATTCGGTTATGGGTACGACAAACAACACCCATCATGAATAACTTAGCAAACGAACGTTATGAATCAAATGAAATAAACGACGTGGCTTGGAAACTTAATGTTGAAATATCATCGCACTGTCAACAACGTGAAAAAAATGCATTGGCCGTACTTCAGTTAAAAACTGGAGCTGGTGAAGATATCAACTTGGAAATGAATCACGAAGAATTGTATCAGCTTTTTAATCAATTTGAATCGATTCAGAATGAATTGGATGCAATAAAACCAATTTCGGATGCAACAAACAGTTCGGTTGTGAACGGTAGTATCAACAAATAAATTAAGCTAGCATTTTTGAGTTCTCAAAATTCAACAAAAATGTAAGTCATTTAAAAGATTAGTGTGTTGACTGTGTTGATATGTGTATGTCTATAGTATTTATTGTAGTTAAATGTTTAATTATATGTAAGAGTAAATTCAAGCTAGATTTTTTTAATTGTATAAAATGGCGCTGTTTCAAATAATTGTTAAAAATTATAGAGCTGAAAACTTATTAATTGTATGTATTAAATAAATTATTGTGGCATTCCTTAAATTGAATCTATTTAAATAAATCTCAACTTAATAGTATATGCCAGCAATCAATCGAGAGCTTTAAGAGATCAATGAAAGTGCTTCATCTGTGCGTAATACGACGCACATCAAAAAATATTGCTAAAACGAAACTCTTTGTAGCAAAAAAACACACAGCATATTACTTGCTATTGTGTATTTATTAATTTGTAATATTCAAATTTTACACAATTCCTATTTCCCGAGCTTACATATTTGGGGCAATGAACTTTAATAATTCTATTATTTTAAAGAAATTTTTTCACTATATGATGTATGTCAAAGTTGGATATATTTACATGAAAAACACCTTAACCAAGTACATACATACATCATCCTGCAATTTTTACTAATCCGTTGTTTGTCTTTTGTTTTTAACCTAGAGTAATTGTTTAATCCCCTTTTACTCTCTTATGGTGGATATTCACCATCTCGAAGCGCTATATATATATATATATATATCTTTTTTTTTTTTTTTCTGTGTTTCCGTCTATAGGTCACTTTTGGTTAAATAATTAACGTTTGTTTAATATTTTTTTTTAATATATTTTATATTTCGACTCACCTGGAGAGTCATCATCAGGATTACCATCTAACATAGATTAATATTAATAAAACTATATATACGTTGTTGTTGTTGTAGTAACCCGCTGGGACCTGCTTGTGAAGTCCCATTGGGGGGTGTTGATCGATTCTTGGTCGTCGTTGATGACGAGTGACTCCGGGACGTAGACCCGATCGATCGTGGAGCCACTATATATACGTCATCCTCTTCATTGTATTGTCTATATTGCAAGCCACCTTTTCTCAAAGGCTTCTCTAACATTACCGTTCCTTTTTGTGTGACTTTTTCTGTCTTGTAGCTTTTTGTATCTTTTGTGACATCTTGCAAATTGAAGTTCAGTTATTGTAGTGAAATTAAGCCTTTTGGATTGGCGACTTTTTTAATTTAGTTAGAAGACTTATTAGTTTCTAGTCTTGTGACTAAATAATATTTTTCGTGGCATTGTTTGGTAGATTTTTCAAATATTAGTTGCAAATTTTATTTTTGTCTTTTGTGATTCCTGATTCCTGACTTAACGTTATGATTTTAGCTTAATTTGTTAGGGCTATGTGAAGATCATCTAAACTTGAAATGTATTTGTGGTCATTTTGCTCTATTCGTATTATATCTATTCGTATTATATCTATTCGTATTATATTCGTATCTGCATGAGTTCATCATTGAGGAAGTCAGCCAAAAAAAAATTGTTTGGTCTCAAGAACGTTCTGTCACCAGTTTCCAAATTATTTAAAAATTCGTTCTAGCGTTCTATTCGCCAGTGTCATTTGTTTAGAGTTACGAATTTCCTAATTTGTTTCTAATGATGATCTCAATAACCTGAGGCAAAGAAAATATATATATATATAAGATGTGGCAAATAACTCTTGAATTTTCTATCAAGAGGTAACAACAAAAATTTGTTGAAGTAAGCCAACACAATCCAATTTATGCTTTTTTTTTTAAAGTAATTAGGAACAAGGCAAAGCAAAATGTTATGTTATTAATTCTTTGTTTGAAACTATTTTTACTTTTCGGTTTTCAATTGTACACATATTAGATTTAAAAATGGAAATAACACCAGCAATTTTATAATATAATTTTTTACAACTTTATTTTGTAGTTGCATAAATCTTTGATTCAATTTTAAAAGATTTTATAGAATGTATATTCCATAAAACCATATGTAATAGGAAGTTTTTCAAAAAATTAATACACAATTAAAACATATAAAAGCTGTGTTGGAGTTATTAGTATTGCGACCGCGTTCGTGTTCTAAATCTTACTTTTCTCTATAAACAAATTTATAAAAAAATATAGTTTACAATTCCCAATCTTATAAGCATTTGATAGTGCTCTATATTAAACTATGTGAGCCAAGGTAGTAGTAAAATCAAACTATTTCGTTTTCCAGACTGGAGGTCCCAGTTTACTTAAAGTGTGGTGACACAATGCAAAATGGAAATGGTGTTTCTTCACAGCAGCAATCGAATGGGTAGCGCCATTTGTCGCTTGTTTTAGGCTATGAGATTGAAATCTGAGGGAATATTCATGCCCCATATGCATGCTTTGACTAGGTAAGTCAAGCAATTTCTAAAAAATATGTAGGTTTCTTTAGGAGTCAAGTTGTTTTATGTTTAAAAGTTATGCAGTTGTATAATGAAAATGTGTGAAAAATATTTTGTGTGAAAAAATGAAGTCTGTATGTAGTTTTGAATGTATTTTTGATGACTTCTGAACAAATTATCTATGAATTAGTAAGAAAATCCTAAAAGATATGCAATGTATATATTGGGACCGTAACAGTTATCATAAAAAAAATAAAAATCACCTTTTAACTATTATCATTTGCATTTTAAAATAAAACTCAAAAAATAATAATTAGATTTGCTTTATATTCAATTCCTCAAAAATAATTATTTTATGTGCCTTTTATTTTTTCGCGCAGAAATAACTCTTAAAATTCTGTTTTTTTTTTAAACGCACTGTTACTTTGCGTTATAAATATTAAAATCATGAATAACTGGCACTGGACTGCCGAATATATTTAAAACGAAAATATAAAATGTATTTTTCATACAAGTTAGTTGTTTTAGTAATTTCATACAAAATGTTCATATATAAAAAGCATGCATAATATGTTATTAAGTATAAAAGTTGTTAGAATGATAACTATATACTTAAATATTAGTTTAGACAACTTTTTGTTGGTGCTTTTTTTCATAAAAAAACCGATTAGGACAAAATGTTAGGTATCGATGTATTGTCCGGAAACTATATATACATAAGTTTAAGGCACTTTAAAGCTGATATGTTAAATAAAAAACACTCAAAAATAGTGTGATTTACTGCAAATATATCTCATCACAGTTCAATATAATTGTTGCAGGACCGAACGCTGAAAGAACAGAAGTGAGTTACAAAAATTTCAAAAATTTCTATCGTTTGCAAGTTTGGGGAATTGA